CTAGGCTAGTCCTTAGAGTTGATGCCCCAAACACTAAAAGATTGAAAGGTCTCTCTGTCAGTTTGATGTCACAGTTGTTTTCCAACATGAAGGATGTTTTTTTACAACACGAGAGGTACGCTAACTATGCGATGGGAGATAATTTTAGGTAGTAAGTGGACAAAAACTTTTCAGTTTTAATAATCATGTATTTATTTTTAAATGTATTAATAAAATGTGTCTAGATTATACAAGCTATAATTTATGAGCATTGTTACATAGGATGAAGCTTAAGCAAGATTTTTTGTTTTAAAAAGGGAATTAATATAAATAAAAGTATTAGTTGAATAATTAATTTAATATGAAAGAATGGCAAAAAGTATTAGGATAAAAATCATGGCAATGGTTTAATAAATATTTAAATGGTTTATTGTTTAATAAGTTGGTTTAATAGATACCTAAATAATATATTTTTTGAAGTATAGTCAGTTATAATGTGTCAACTTCTGGTGTATAGCATAATGTCCCATCCATGCTTATATATACATATATTTGTTTGCATATTCTTTTTCATAAACAATAAATATTTAAGTGGTATAATAAATATTTTTTAAAGTTTAACTCATTTTAATTCAGAGAAAGTCACCATTTAACAACACCCCACTCACACGTACGTATATAATCTAAAAGCCTCATTCCATCTTCTCCCCATCAATTATTTGTTACTTTGTAGTAAATTACCCTAAAATTTAGCAGACAAAACAACCATTTATTATGCCCATGGGTTCTGTAGTTCAGGAATCTGGACAAAGATCATCACGACTGGTTTCTCTCTGCTGCAGGCTGCACGGAGGGGTGGGGAAAACCTGGGGGCTGTGGTGCCTGAAGTATCATGTGTCCATGTGTCTGTCAGTGGAGACCTGCTATCAGTCGGGATACCTATGCCTGGCCCCCTCATGTGCACAGGGCTTCTCCAACATAGGGGCTGGTTCCAAGAGTGAGATCCCAAAAGGGAGAATTAGGCAGAAGCCTTATTGCTTTTCCTGACCTAGGCTCCAGAATCACTCATCATCACTGTGGCCATATTCTGTTTCAAGGTATCACAAAGGCCCACGTCTGAAGGAAGGTGAAGTAAAGTAGATTTTACTTCTTGGTGAAGCAGTGGCAAAATTCTAGGTGAGAATGTAGGACTGAAAATATAATATGAACATGAGACTAAAATTATTGTGTTCCCTGAGTTGCCAGGATACCAGAACCAGAAATCCCTGACATGGACTTAGAGGACCCTCAGAGAAAAATCTAAATTTCAAGTCTTATATTATTAGCAATATTCAAAGTAGACAGAAAGCTCATTATCCCCTGTGAATCCTCTGTGAAGGGGCTTCTTACAAGACTCAGTACCAATGTGATGATCTCAACAACTCCCTCAAAACTCTCAAAATCTGATAAGACTCTGACTTGGGGTACCATCAACTTACCTGCAGGTCTGTGCCCCAAATGCAATGCATCTGGCTAAAGATAATTCCCAGTACTTTCAAGTAGCCTCAGCCACTCAGTAGTAATCTTTCCCTCTGATTTTATTTCGCATTAAACACTATGAAACTCCACAATCTATGGGCAACATATGAGTTCTACAACAGAGGGAGCAGTGAGACATATGGGAGCCCTAGGAGTTACTGGAAACTGAGAACTCTACCAGTCTCAGCCAGCCCTTTAAAGACTATGCAGTCTTATATTTTAGATGGAATTTTTTTTTGCAATTTGTTGTGGATTGAAAATTCTGAAGGTGTAATTAATAGCGGAAGGATATCCAATAACAGTAGTAATGCTGAGAAGAGTGAGTTGTTTCCAACTGCTAGACTGCCTTCTACCTTCTGCTTCAACTTTACATTCTAAGAGTTGGCTTCTTCTGGGTGTCTCTTTATTTAGGGTCAGGGTGAATCTGAACACAAACATCTTTTGTGTTTTAAGATGATGTGTCTTTCCCTGCAGACAACTTAGCCAAGGTCAGGAAGGCCACAGCTTAAGGCAAAGGGCCAGTCTTCTTAGAAGAATCACAGAACATTTCTTAGTCTGTGCCTTTCTGACCATGGTTATTTTTGATATTGAACTATGAGGTGACCCTAAAGCCAGCAATGGCTTTTGCTGAGTAACAAAAGAACTAAAGGTTGATAACATGACCCTACAAGAAAAAACTCAACTGGGCCTGATACTGAATTTCATCTTTCACTTCATCCCTTAACTTCAGTCTCCTTTCTCCCCTCATGACACCAACAGAGCCACCAAATTCTTTTTCTTTGGCCAGAAATCCACCGTGAGAGCCATAATAAAAAAAATCACTTTTGGTTCTGAAGCTTTCAGATTTAGATATTATTATAAGAGAGGTACCAAAAAACCGAAAGTGTTTCAAAAAAAAGAAATAGAAAATGAGCACCAAAGGGAAAAACAACAACAATAAAAAGCTAGGAAGAGCTAAAAAGAATGATTAATATGCAATTTGAGGGATGAAATTATGTGTTATATGTAATTTATGAATAAAAACTCATAGACATAGAATACAAACTTGTGGTTGCCAAGGGAGGAGGGTGGGAAGGGACAGACTGAGAGTTCAAAATTTGTAGATACTGACAGCATATGCAGAATA